TTTAAAAATTTTTTTTTTGAAATCGAGCTTGGAATGTAGCTCAGTGGTAGAGCGCTTGGTTACTTAGCATGTGTGAGGCCCTGGGTTCACTCGGTAGTACCACCAAAAAAAAAAAAAAGTGTTTTGACTGGACCTAGTGGCACATGCCTAGGAGACAGGAGAATTACAAATTCAGGTCAAGCCTTAGCAATTTGCCAATTTAGTGAAACCTTGTCTCAAAAATTAAAAAATAGCAGGAGGTGGTGGAGACAAAACACAGAATAATCTGAGATTTGAGGGGAAATGGCCAGCCTGCAGAGATGGATTTAGGAGACTGCACAATTTTTGCCTTGTATCTCTTCTCTTTGGAGTCCTTTCCCCTCTTACACACACACACACACACACACACACACACACACACACACACAATTAATTTCATATAAAAGAAAAAGGGGCCAGGGATTTAGCTGAGTGGTTCGGCCACCTGCCTCACAAGCACAAGGACCAGAATCTGATCCCTGGTACCAAAAAAAAAAAAGAAAGAAAAGAAAGAAAGAAAGAAAGAAAGAAAGAAAGAAAGAAAGAAAGAAAAGAAAAAGACACAGGAATCAGCTTAAGTGAATCCTGGTGATGACACGTGGGGTTAACTTTCATTAAAATAAATGAGGACAGTAATGTATTATAACTTATCAAATACATGAATCCATGCTGATAATGAAATAGTAAACAGGAGAAAATAAAATTCTTTTCTCCTGTTTTTTATTAATTTTTTTGGTACTGGGGATTGAACTCGGGACCTTGCACTTTTGAGGCAGGCAGCAGAACTGCTGAGCTAAATCCCTGGCCCGAAAATAAAATTCTTTCTTACACTAAAATTACTATTCTACGTAGAAGAAATGGTAGGCGTTAGAAAGTTGCATTTTACAATGTTGATAGCAATAATTGCCTTAGACAAAAATCATCAATGGATACATAATTTAGTGGGTGAAAGTCTGATAAAGAACAGGATATGGAGGGCTGGGAATGTAGCTCAGCAGCACCACGCTTGCCTCCCAAGCACAAAGTCCTGAGTTCGATTCCCAGTACCAAGAATGGAAAAAAAAAAACAAAAAACAAGATATGGGGCTGGGGGTGTGGCTCAGTGGTAGAGTGCTTGCCATGGTATGTATGAGGCCCTGGGTTCAATTTCAAGCATTGCAAAACACACAAAAACAAAAACAAGAGCCTGAGATTTAGCTCAGTTGTTCTGCTGCCTGCCTCGAAAGCTCAAGGACCAGAGTTAGATCCCCAAAAGAAACAAACAAAACAAATAAAAAAGAACAAGATAGTCATAATCTGGATGTGTTCTTTACAAGTCATTTATTTATTACAAAAGGAAAAACAGTAACTTTATAGTGTAGGACTCAAGAGTGTAAGGCCAGTAGTTAGACATTAGCAGGCCTGAGAGGGAAAGGGGGTCCAAATAGCATGCTTTGCCAGTCATGGTTAAGTGAAAAAATAAGACCTAAGTGTACAGTACATCTGTAATCATTTAATAGACCTCAGACTGAAAGACACAGGGCCCCTATTTCTAGAAGAAGTCATATGGCATTCCTGGTTGCCATAACCTATGGCCCACTGATACCAGAAAGGGGAACATTGATTTAGATTAAAACTTATCTTTTGTAAATTTCTTTCCAAAATTTCTTACATGAATAAGGCTCCTGAGAAAGCACTGATCATCTGAATAGAACAAAGAAGATATTTAGCAATTCCAAAGCAACCTGTAAGAAAAATGTTGATGAGCATCATAATTACCATAGCTCTTGAACCCCTGGAGTAACTGTTGTGTGCACAAAAAGATTTCCAAATTCCTATTGGGTTCAGACGCCTATGAAGTACTGCATGCCTTCTCTGAAAGTATAAGTCTCTCCATATCTGCTTTTCAATAAGCTCTACCTATACTTCTGTACAGCTGCTGACATATCTTGACTAAGGCACAAAGGACAAAAAAGCTGGGGGTAAGGGGTGATTCCTTGTAGTGTCAGGACCTGGCTTCTTGGTGACAAAAGGGCACTACTTTCATCAAATGATTAAAGTTGGCATTACCAATAATGAGACAAGCCAAGATCATATACCTCTTGATAAGATGCCCACAAAAACATATCAGTTATGTAGTATTTCTGCCAGAAGTACATAAACTGAATGTAATCGTGAGGAGACATCATAGAATCACAAATTGAGGGAACCTTTACAAAATAAATAGCCTGTGCCCTTCAAAACTATTACAGTCAGTAGTGGTGCCATATGCCTGTAATCCCAGCCCTCTGGAAGCTGAGCCAAGAGGATTGCCATGAATTCCAGGCCAGCCTGGGCTACATAGTGAGTTCAAGGCCAGCCTGAACTGAATAGCAAGACCTTGTCCCAAAATTTTTAAAAATTACAGAGCACAGACCTGTGGAATCAGGCAATTACCAGTTCTACCACTTATAATTTTGCCTGCTCTTGGTTTTGATCTGACCTTGACCTGCGTCATTTAAGGATCCTGTACCTCACTTCCTTCATATGTAAAATTTAGAGTGTAAAGCTTACTTTTAGTGAGAAAAAATAATACTATAAAAGACAAAAAAGAGGCCAAGGATTTAGCTCAGTGGCACCACGCCTGCCTGGCAGACACAAGGTCCTGAGTTCAATTTCTGTTACTGGAAAAAAAAATAAAAATAAAAACGAAAGAAAAAGAAAGGAAGGATTATATTTTAAAGGAGCCAAAGACATATGACAAAGACTTCTGGAAAGATGGCAGAGTAGTGAACAGCAGGGAAACAGCTTCTCCAAGATTTGGTGTCCAGACTTGGAATATAGCAAAGTAAGGTAGAGAAGAAGGAAGGAAATGGATCCCTGGGGCCTAACAAGGATCTGAATCGAGAATTGAAGCCCATGGGAAGAGCCAATAGAGAGACTTCAATGAAGAAGAAGGAGGTGGCAAGTGGTGCTTTCTCCCTGAACCTTGACTCACTTAGTGGGAAGGGCAACTCTAATATGCAGACACACTGTGACTACTGGTGACCTCAGAGGCCTCCACTGAAAAACCTACCAGTGCAACTGATCAGTGGATGCAGTGGACTGCAGTGATTGGTGAGTTATTTGGGTTCAGATGTACCCCAGAAGAGAACTATTGGATGGTAGCCACCTTGGAGAGGGGACAGTTGAGCTCAGAACTTAGAGTAACTGTGGCTAGCTCCATCAGGGTGAGGCAGAATCAAGTTCAAATTGGCAGAAGGTCAAGGAGCTAAGTTCAAGACAGCAGGGAGTCAAGACTGAATAAGAGAGACAAAGAAGGTAACTACATACTTGTTAAGGGAACAATCCAAGAGGAAGAGGTAAAAATTATAATTATATATTATATAATTTGGTAATTATATATATTATATATATACAAATATATATACACACAAGCACACCTAACTATATAAAACAAATACTAGTGGACATGAAAAATCAAATAAGTACTAATAAAATTGCAACGGAGTCCTCACTACCCCACTGTCACAAATAGATCAACTAGACAAAAAAAAAATCAAAGAATTATCAGAGCTGAGCCAAACCTTTGAACAAATGGACTTAGTATACCTCTAAAGAGTGTTCCACCTAACAACATCAGAATACACATTCTTCTCAGCTGCACATGGAATGTTCTCTAAAATAGACTTACATACTAGCTTCCAGAACATGCTGCTTTTTTCTTTTTTCTTTTTGGTACCGGGGATTGGACTCAGGACCTTGCGCTTGCTAGGCAGGTGGTGAAACCACTGAGTTAAATCCCCGGCCCCAGAACATGCTTATTTAAATGCAAGGGAATTGAAGTTATCCCATGCATATTATCAGATCACAGTGCAATGAAATTGGAGATCAATGGCAAAAGAAACCATAAAAACTTCATAAACCTATGGAAATTAAATAACACCCTCCTGAACAACCACTGGGACAAAGAAGAAATTAAACAGTTTCTATAGTTAAATGATAATGCCAATACAATATACCAGAACTTATGGGACACAATGAAAGCAGTCCTACAAGGGAAATTTATAGCAGTGAATTCTCATATCAGAAAAACAGAGCAAGCTCAAATAAACAACCTAATATTGAACCTGAAGCTTCTAGAAAAGGAAGAGCAAGTCAAGCCCAGAGCTTATGCAAGGGAGGAAATTATAAAGACCAGAGGAGAAATTAATGCAACAGAGACTAAGAAAACAATACAAAGAATCAATAAATCAGAGAGTTGATTTTTTGAAAAATTAAATAAAATGGACAAA